TTTATTGTTTTCATTAAAAGAAAAAACTGCTGAACGTTCATCGACCCTGCATTTCCTTAAAGTAAGTTATTAGCTGGTGGGACTTTGACTCATTTCTGAGGCACTGACTTCAGTTTTACTGAATGAAAATCTGTCGAGTACTGTAAATTGACTTTGCTAAGTCCCACCCAGGGTCCGACAACAACACAGCTGTGCTCCATTGTTTCAGATTTCCTTCATTTTGAGGCTGGTTTTGTGGATTTGGAGCTAAATGTTGTGCCTGGGGCATGTCGTGTATTAATGATACTCATTACCTGGAGAGGTTGGAAAAAGATACCTTCCCTGTTCCAAAACCAAAATCAAACCCTGAAAAGTGTAGGGTTAGCTAGCTAGCTACTGAAGATATAGCCTACTGAATGTATACACATGCTGCTTTTGCTTTTTAATGATTATAACAGTGAAACAAAGACCGACCCTGCTGTACAGGAACCAGTGAAGGGAAGCAGGGAAACTTTGCTCATATTCAACCAGATGTGTGTCATCGCAGTGTGTGCAGATTAACATTGTTTAACTTCCCCAGGAGATCCCTGCCCGTCAGGCGGTGGAGGTCCGGGTGCTGGCAGTGGCACGGGGGCGAAACTAAACACTGTTCATCTGCACACACTGCGATGCCACACAGCTGGTTCAATATCAGCAAAGTTTCCCTTTAACCTCTGTTTTACAAAACAGGCAGGTAGGACAAAAAATCCTTGAATCCAAAGCAGGCGAAGTTAAAAAAAAACAGGGAATCAAACACAGAGATTGCTAGAAAGCTATGACACTAAGGAACAATGACGATCTGGCAGAGACATAGGGAGCAGGTGAGTAAGAGGTATCAAGTGTGGTTGATGATACTGTAGGTGGGAAACACAGGAAACTGCAATGACACAAGAGGCTGGTACTTCAAAATAAAACTGGAAATATAACAGAATCCAGAATGTTACACCAACAGCAAAACCAGTTGTGTTTTAGCGAGATGTTGCCATGGATCCATCAGATTTTTAGCCACCAAACCTCATCTCTGTTTTTGCTGCATGTCATGTCCACTAGAGGGCACTGGAACCAGATCAACATGGAGGACATTAGAAGGAAATCTGTCACTGTGGACAGTGTGGAGGGTTAATATGAAGAAAAGCTGCAAGAAACTGCAACTTCTGACCTTTTCTTCTTTGACAGAGAGAAGTTACACTCCCTGACACATTTACAATTAACACAGTAACTTTTTAACTGAACCCCAGCTGAACCAACATGTTGCACACACACACGGCCTTGGATGGAGAACACTGTGATGGTAAACAGCTCGCTCTCATCCTCCTCCCTCTTCTGGTAAATCAAAATCTGCAGAATGAGTTTTTCATAACAGCTGACAGTCTTGTCTGTTGTTGGTTTTGGTCTCATTTCAGGACACGAGAATAAATGTTCATGGTGAAACTTAAAGATTATTTTGGTACTAACAAAATCTACACCTGCTTCTGACTGCTTGTAGTGCTTGTGTAAATAAGATATTGCACATAAATGTTGCTTATCATGATTAGAGATTACAATTTTAATTCATATTGTGCTCTGTTATGTTGAGATGCCTTTGAAACACGTTAACTTAAACATGGCAAGAGATTAGAAATATAACACGTTTAGTTAAATTAGTTGGCATTTAGCAGATTTAAGCTTCAGATTTGGGTTCGTAAAAATGTGAAAGATACAAAACTGGGAAAGGCTCTTCTCTGAATAAATAGAATAAACCAGCGGCTTCCTCCTCTGCCCTCTTTACGCACCGCAGCCCCAAACTGCATGTCATTTTTGTTTAATTTATTTATCAGAGACGAGACGTGGGAGATGCAAACATTATTTCAAATTGAGTTTTGGTTCAATAAGACTTGTGGACCTGGGAAAGCAATTCGGCGTCTGTCTCCGCTCACACCAGCCAGACTGTCTTACATGTTGTTAAACTTAACGGTGGGTTATTGCCGACATCAGACTGCCTGTATTAAGATGTTTTAATAGTGGTTTCATTTTACAACAGAGACAAAGAATGCTGAGGTTGAGGGCAAACTGACAGAGGGGTCTCTCATGATGCAAGCAATGCGTTTGACTGCAGCAGAGAGTGACTGATCGGAGCCTCCTGTAGCTGTTGTGGTTTTTTGGTGTGTAAGTTTCATGTCCGACCATTTTTGTTTAATTTTTTGGACGGTTCTTACAACAGATGACACAGAGTTAACGGCACCTGTTACCTTCTCTTAGGCCTTTGATTTACCTGTTCCTGTCACACCATTGCTGACAGAGGGAAATAAAATGTATTCTAAGCCCCACTTCACCTTAAATAACTTCAATCACAGCGTCGGACAATTTTTTCTTTGTCTCTCTTTCTCTTTCTTTGTTTGCTCCATGCTTGCAGGTTGGACGTTACCGAGGTAGTGCGAAGGTTTTTTATCTGCAAATCTACTCACAGATTTACTCAAATTTCATGAGAGAGATGGTTTAAGTTTGCCATCATCTGAAGAGAAAGAAAAGCACTGTGTCAGTCTGACCTGAACAAACTGGTACCACTGACAGAACCGGACTGGTCTGGAAGCCTCTAACTGGTTTAATCTTTGACTGTACACTCGACGTTTCCTGCTCCGTGGAAATAAATGATCGGGTCAGTTAAAAGGTTGCTTCAGTGTCGTCCGGCTCGCACCTGTCATAAGCCTGTAAATCTTGACAGCGCCTCACACAGTGTACACAATGACTGACTTTCTGTGAGACGTCTACATGCCAGAAGGAAACCAAACAATTGTGAGAGGTCAGTTTAAGGTGAGAACTCTGTGAGCCTCTTGGTGATGTTAATAATTAGAATCTTTCCCTGAGAAAGATGAGATATTATGGCTAACCTGACTTTAACTTAAGCTCCCAATTTGTGTGTTTTCAGCAGGATCACAGATCGCTTTTACCTTAAATCTAGACATTTTTCACAGCTGACCTCAGATGAGAGTTCACTCAGACCTGTATATTTAGTGCTTTAAGTAAAACCTCCAAATCACTTCTAACATCCACCTAAGTAACAGATGAGTTTGTGACCTTGAAGCATGAAGATAATCGTCAGTAAAAACAAACTCTATTAACACTTTTTTAACAAGTTTGGTGAGGTGCAACGTTTGAGTGCACAACACTTCATACAGTGATACAACTTTCTTTACATAAACTACCTTAACACTAAATACTTAAGTTGCTTGGACTTAACTTAGATATTTTTATGCCTCCGCACTGGCAATAGCTGTGGCAGGAGGTATTATGTTTTCTGATTGTGGGGCGTCGGTAGAGTAGTTGATAGTGCTGGCGCCCCATGTACAGAGGCGATGCCTCGCTGCAGCGGTTGCAGGTTTGATTCCGACTTGCAGTGCCTTGCTGCATGTCATCCCCCCACTCTCCCTCTCTCCCAATTTCACACTGTCCTTTCTGTTTCCCTCACTGTCCTGTCAATTAAAGGCAAAAAGCCCAAAAAATAGTCCTTAAAAAAAAAGAAGAAAAAATTCTGATTGTCCGTCTGTCCCACTCTTGTGAATCCAGTATCTCCAGAACACCCTGAGGGACTTGGCACAAACATCCACTTGGACTCAAGGATGGACTGACCTTTGACCACCAAATAGTGGTCATAGCCACTGTGACCTTATCTGTCTCATTTTTGTGTACACAATATCTCAAGATAACATCAACATCTTGAGGGACTTTATTCAAATTTGGCACAAATTTGGACTCAAGGATGAACTGAGCAACATTTGGTGGTCAAAGGTCAGAGGTTAAGGTCACTGTGACCTCATCTGTCTCATTCTTCTCATTCAACGTGATATCTCAACATCTTGAAGCAGTTTCTTCAAACATCCACTTGGACTCAACAATAAACTGATCCGATTTTGGTGGTCAAAGGTCAAGGTTACTGTGACCTTGTATCCGTCTCATTCTCGTGGATGCATTATCTCAAGAAGGCCTTGAGGAAGTTTCTGCAAATTTGGCACAAACATTCACTGATGGAGCAGCTGATTGATGGTGGGGAGTCAGCTGATAGATCACATGATTCCTTTCTATGCAACCAATTGGTGAATCTCATTCAGGGCTCCCTATTTAAACTGCTCTGGCCTGCCTACTGTTGCTGCTTCCTCTGCAAGCCGCTTTGCAACCCGCCTCCACCCCAGCTCCTCCTTTTGCATGCTGTGTCTGACTTAGCAATGTCATTTCTGTTTGTCATTGATGCTGCTCTGTTCTGTTCCCGGGGGTCTTTGCTTCTGCTCTCCCTGCCTTAGGCTTTCTATGTAGGCGCATGGAAGGGCAGAGAGGTGTGCTCTCTCTGCCTTCCGCTTTCCATGTAGGATGAGGCTTTCTGCGTAGGCCTGAGGAAAAGCAGAAGGGCCCCAGAACAGAGCCATACTGCCAAATATAATACTGCAAATGGAAATAAAATTTTCTTAGACTAAAGTGTTCCTGACTGAATTAGAATTTGTTGGTCTAAGGTCAAGGTCACTGTTATCAAATCTGTTATTTGGCATTCAGTGACATGCTTTTACATGCAACACAATACTCAAGGAAGACAGTTTGCCTACATTTTAACTGATGGGGGGCTCAGAGGGACCTGAATAATGGACAGGGGGGCACTGGCCCCAAAAAGGGTAGAGAACCACTGGTTTCATCAGCTTCCTGACACAGTTTGATTTGAGCTAACTCACAAGGCTTTAGAGTAAAACTCTATATTTTTAGAGCTTTGGGTCCCTCCCTTTTTCTTCATTTAGTCCCAATAATCTTCATGTTTAAAAGGGATACAGTGTTTTCCTCTGCTCTGCTGTCTTCCCGTCTATTTTGGGTGTAAAGTGTAGATTGCAACAAGTAGTTGCACTATAAGCACAGACCTTTGAGAGAAGGAGGAGGAAGAGAAGGGGTTGAGGAGGAGAGGTGGAGTTCTTTTGTCTTGTTTGGGATAAAGGAGGTGTGAAGCCTCAGAAAGGTCCATCAGAGAGACACTGACGACTGCTGCAACAGGAGTATGAACAGTATTTGAATTCAGAGATGTGAAGTATTTGCACTTATTGTAGCACTTATAGGCAGGAGAACTGTATTTGTACTTGTTGTAACAGAGTTCATTTGTACTTGTTGTTGTAATATTGCCTATATATTGGTCGTTTTTGCACCAATTCTAATAGAACTTTGGCAGGGTAGTAACATTTCTAAATGTAGCTCTTAAAGTAGTTGCAGATTCAAGATAGGTCTTCTTTGCACATACATGGTCAGCCTGACTGTTAGCTGCTACAGTGGTTATTAAAGAACTTAGTGCAGACGCACAGTAGAAACCAGAGTCGAACAGTAGATTCCAGTAAAATGCAGGACTACGAGGAGTCAGTGTCATTCCTGGGGACCTGGGGCCCGTTCCAGAGGAGAGTCTTCTTCCTGCTTTGTTTCACCGCCATCCCAAGTGGATACAATCTGCTGTCCGTCATCTTCCTGCTGGCTACGCCCTCCCACCACTGCCACATCCCTGCCCACGCCAACCTGAGCCAGGACTGGATCCAGGCCAGCATCCCAGTACAGGTCAGAATTGGCTAGCTCAGAACTGAGTGATTCTGAAAGTTATAATTAAGTGGGAAAAAAATGATTGATTGATTTGAAATTCCATTTCCATTTCCAAGCATGTCCTCTAAAATGTGTCACTTCTCCAGAGCAACACACAGAAGTGTTTTCTGATCTGATGCCTCCATCAGCAGGATGACGTTATTCGCCTGTGACTTCCAAAACTGTTACAAATGATTGTTTTATGATGAGACAACATTTTGGTTACTGTTGGTTCAGTGTAGGGAGGGATCTGCCTCCGTAAGTTGAGGTTACATTTATTATCATGGTAACAATAAAACTGCAGAGGACAGTATCTTATTCCTTTGACCAAAATTCTGTCTTCCTGTCGGTTATGCATCTTGCATTTTTCCTAGCTGTTTGGGATAAGTAAGACCTAATAAGTAAAAAAACTAAGCAGTAAGTAGTTTTGGAAGAAAATAATGTCCTCATATGGGGACAGTGGTTTTGTTTTAATAGTCACAAGTGTGTAATAAACCATAAAACACTTTATTTCAGCATCTGTTGTGCAAAAACCAAATAGCAAACGATGTAATGTTTGTTCAGTGTTCTCTAACTCAAAGGGTTAGAGGTCACTGTTCAAGCCTAATGTGCTCACACCAAACGCAATGCGAATGTTCTTGCTGCCTTACTCGCACCAGTTTGAATGCTAGAATATTTAGTGTTGCCTTGCTTCATATGTGCAAATAACTTGCATCATACATGCACGACATTGAATGGATGAATGAACTTCCAGAGTACTCAAAATGAGTATTTCCTTGATATATCATATGTAACATTTTATTTCCAAAAACAGACTGAAAATGGATACTTTTTATTTTTTATTTATGAAGCGATAAAAAGAGATATCCAAAACTCACTCTGTGAAATCATTTGAGTTTAATTTGACAGCAAAATTTAGGAGTTTATTTTAGTTTGGATTTCTGTTCTGGAAAAGTTGAAAGTGCATATTTAATTAGATGATTCTGCATTCACACATTTAACATTAAATGTCATTATAGTATGTAATACAAATAATAATTATCTTTATATTTATTTATTTATTTATTTATACATACCCAATTGCATGCTGAGCCATAACACAGCTGATGTCTGAGTACAAGCTTTCGAAGGATTTCGAATACATGAAAATGGGGTCAGCTAATAATTGACAATACAGCTTTGGATCCAGGTTGTTATCTCAGTGCAGGTTAGAACTGGTCTACTTTGGACTGATGCGGTCTGCCTCCCCAGACTGTTAATGATGATGTTGTTTTCCTGTTCAGCAGGAGGACGGGCGGCTGGAGAGGAGCAGTTGTAGCCGGTATGAACTGGACCTGGTGCAGAACCTGTCTGCGCTGAGATACACAACCAGCCTGAACCTGATCCAGAACCTGTCGAGTCCAGATGTCCTCCTCTCCAACCTGAAGCGGGAGGGCTGTAAAGATGGGTGGAGCTACAGTTCTGAGTACTACCAGTCTACTGTAGTCAGTGAGGTACGGTGCTACTGCTGTTACCGCATCTACTAATGCACTTAGTTTTACTTTTACTGTTTTGACTGGCGACCCCCCACCTTCCTCCATCCACTGTTTGTCACTGTTTAGACTGTTATGTAAGAATCCAGTCGAGTCAGAATAATTTCTGTCTGTACAACACAGAGGGGTCGTGACCTCTCTCAGCAGCCACCAATCATTGACCCACCTCAAATAACAAAACTGGATTGGTGTCTCCTGCACTTACATGACAACTTCTGCAGCAACTAAATTCATGTTTGTGTTTGAGTAGAACTTATGCAGATTATTGTAATGTGCAACTACAAAGAAGAACAGCTGTATGTTGTGCTAAACTATATCACATATTACTTCTGACCAGGTTTTGACCTCTGAGCTCACTGGGAAAAGCCATAGAATTAAATATACTCGATGCTGCTGCACATGAGGATACATACAACACTAAATCTAGCTAGAACATCCTGGAATATCCAAGAAAAAAAAGAATTACATTTTCAGTATTTTGCTGAACTCTTAAAGTTTCCAAAGCTTTCCAAAGTTACATCTTTTGCGTTGTTGTGGCAATCTTTAGCCATTCTGCTTGGGAGGAACATACCTGTCGCAGCATGTTAGGTAATCGGCTGTATCAGTTAGACAGTCAATGGACTGTCTTTGAAAACGAGATTATAGTGAATGTAAATCTCGTGATGATGTCAAGTAACAACAGATGTTTACAAAAGGGGAATGCAAAGGTCACACACTTACAAACACATAGGAAGAAGAATGAAACAATATACAGTAAAATGTATCAATAACTTGTAAACCGACTGCCGAAGCAGTTTAGTCCGCAGATATCTACAACGTACATAGTTTATTGAATTAATACAGTGAAGGATTTGAGATCTATTTTATGTTCCCTTGTTGGAAGAGGTATTAACGTTTGTAATTCCTGTATTTAAGATTAAAAAAAGCACAGTATTTAAGGGCAGGCAGTGCATCTCAAACTAGAGGGCAACATGTAAATAAGCAACCAAATAAAATTAGTACGGCTCATTTGACCAGGCAACTTTGGGTAACACTTTACTTGAAGGTATCTACATAAGAGTGACATGACACTGTCATAACTATGACATGAACCTGTCATAAACATTATGCACATGTCATAAACATTTATGACTGCTGTCATTAAGTGTCATTCATTTTTTGTAATGACAAGTTGACATTGTTTGGGTTGTCTTGATTATGACAACTTGACATTAATTAAAGTGACATTACCAGAAGTTGCCTTTGTCATGACAAGTTGACATTACGTTTGTTTGGGATGGCCTTATAATGACAACTTGATATTAACACATAAAGACATCTTCTGGTAATGTCATCCTGGTTAATGTCACTTTGTCATAAGGACAACTTCCAGTAATGTCATTTTGATTAATGTCAAGTTGTCATAATCAGAACAACCCAAACAATGTCAACTTGTCATTACAAAAACCAAATGACACTTAATGACAGCAGTCATAAATGTTTATGACATGTACATAATGTTCATGACAGTTTCATGACCATGTCATGTCATAGTTATGACAGTGTCATGTCACTCTTATGTAGATACCTTCAAATAAAGTGTTACCCAACTTGGTAATATAGATGATTAGGCAGAGGGGGCGGAGGCAATCCTTCAACCATATCCCCCACCACACAGTGATTTATGTCCTTTTACTCCTTTGAGGTAACTATCTAAAGTTCATCTCAGTTTGGTGCCAGTTGTGAGGCATTTCAAGGGTGGGCAACCAAACCTTTGGCACAGGAAGGTAACAAAAACAGCTCAGGAGAATGGCCAACGTTCCAGCCCCACTGATTTCTCTAAAAACAGGTATTTGCACATGTATACAGAAAATGTAGGCAACGCCCGAGAAGTATTGTCCAATCAAGTTTGAGCTGCAGGTGAACAGTCCATGTGGAGAGCAAAAGACGTGGAATCGCTGAGATGCCTCCCTGAATGTAGCACAAAGCTTTAGAAATCGTCCTTTCCCGTCTGCTATCGCTTATCTTAACTAGCAGTGACCACTGATGTCTATGATTTACCCCTGACAGTGTGCGATACTGGATTTTGTGTGTTATATGTCGTCTGTTTTGTTGTACTCATGACTACTCTCTGTATCTCAAATTGCCCCTCGGGGACATTAAGTTTTACCTTACCTTACCTTATGCAGTCCCTGAACCCATCGGCTATTGTCTGACAACGTTACAGTTTTTTTTATTAACTTTTAAAAAGTCATTTATCTCCATTTATATGCAAAGATTAGCCAAAATGACAAGACATGGAAGAGAAAGTCTTGGCCAAATATCTGTAGGCTACACTGGAACAACCAAAATATTGGCCATCGCCCCCAGAAGCTTATCACTGTCAGACCAAAAGCTGGTGGGTTTTGAGATTGATGCTCCACCAATAATAAGCAACTTGGAGGCTGTTAAAACTAACGGTCAGGACAGGAAGAGACCAAATAGAGGAGGACTGATCTCTGGGCTGTTTTGTTCCAATGTTTTCCAATTAATGTCTGTTTTACATTTGTTGGTTGCATTACCAGGTTGGCTTTATATTCCAGTCTACAATGAATGTTTTGTTCCAGTTTATATTTCCATGTCTGCTGCAGAGTTCCCATTCATTCTCTGTCTTCCAGTTTAATCTGGTGTGTGACGACCAGTGGAAACAGCCTCTGACCTCTCTCGTCTACTTCCTGGGAGGACTGTTCGGATGTTTCATCTCTGGACAGATCTCTGATCGGTACTTTTCAGCTCCAGTTCAAATTGTTTTCTGTAGCTGCTCCTCTTAGCTGCTACAGAGTTAGCAGGGGTAAAACGTTTTACAAAGTATGTCTGGCAGTTAGCTGTGAACTAACCTAGCATTGATCAAAAAGATGAAGGATTGCTACATGTCATGGAAAAAGGAAATGTATAGCTAAAACTCAGCAACATAATTTTGAATTTCCATTAGCTGACAGGCCAAAAATCTAAAGACCTAGCTCTCATGGTTTGCCGTAAACTTGGGAGACCAATATGCTAGCTTCCAACAACGCTTTCCCATTCCAGTGTCTCGTCTGTGACACTAATTTCTGTTGTATTTCTACCTCAGGTTTGGCAGGAAGCCTGTACTGTTCGGTGCCCTTGCCATGCTGAGCATCTTCAGCAGTGCCTTGGCCTTTGCTCCATCCTGGCCCGTCTTCACCATACTCTTCTTCTTGCTGGGAATTGGTCAGATCACCACCTTCATAGTTGTGTTTGTACTGGGTATGTTTTTTTCATTTTCAGGATACTGTGACTTCTGACATTTGTCCTCCTCTCCACTGGTTGTGCGCTCTAGTGTTGTTCTGTTGTTGACTCTGTTCACACCAATCTTCTTCTATGCTTTTGCCTTGTATACAGACAAAGCCTTTCAATCCCAAAGATAAATCATTACAACCAAAGTGAAGCACCAGTTTTGTTTTGAGAGGGCTTTTCATGCCAACAAATATTAATGCTTTTTTTAAATGCTGACAAATGAGGATGGGTATCATTTAAAAAAATGACAATACCAGTACCCTTAAAGTGATATTAATATCAATACAGTAATTCATTTGACACCTTTTTTCTACTTCATCGGATACCTGTCATCTAATTGGAGGCATGTAGTTGTGTAAAATGCCAATCGGGCGTATAGTATAGCTTCCTAACGTTTTGGGTCAGGGCATCATTGGATTCTTCTTAATTCATTTGCATTTTAAAGACAAATCACACCAAAATTCAACCATTTTCTTGTTTTAAACCAAAAAAAAAAAAAAGGTCATTTTACTCTTCTTTTTTCGTCTGTCAACAAAAAATAAATAGACCCCGTGCCTTCATTTTTCCTTTTTGGTTTAATATGACAAAAACAAACCAAAAAAAACGTGACTTCCATTTTTCATCTCCAAATGAAATAGGGAAAAGGAGTTGCCAGAAACCCCAAATGAACTGCTTTGGATTGGTTTTTGTCTTTTTTTAATTCTGCAACAAAAAAGGAAAAACAGCTCGGTTGAGTTTTGGTTTGGTGTGTTTTAAAATTACAAATGAATTACGAAGTATCTGATGATACCTGGACTGTTTTGGTGGCATCTCTGGCACACTGAACTGTCAACTCCGTCAAATACAACACGCTCAACTTCACCATACCACAGACTGTATGGGTTGTAGCTGCTGCTGTAGCCAACCAATCACACACCCCATTAAATCGAAGAACACTTGCAGTAATTAGCTGGTTTCATTTGAATGAAGATGTCTCAATAGTTCTTGTTACTGGGTCATTTCAGTCAATACTATTACTGCTACTACTATACCATAATTATTTCAGCCTTGACAACAGAAACTGTACCGACAAAAAGGTCATAGTATCATTCCCTGATACTTTTTATAATGTTTCCTCAACAGGTTCAGAGATCTTGACCGGTTCGACCAGAGTTCTCTTCTCCAGCCTCTGCATGCCTGAGGTCTATGTGTTGGGTACAATGCTGCTGCCTGTCACTGCCTACGTGGTCAGGAGCTGGAGACACCTTTCACTGACCATGGCTGTGCCAGGCCTGGTCTGTATCCCCCTCTGGTGGTAAGATGACCTCAGTACATGTGCAGTACTTTATCAATTGGTGTGCAGGTGACATTTTTATGACAGGAAAAGATATCCAGCTGTGGGATGTTGCCTCTGCCTTCTACTTTGTGCTTTGATGTATTACAAACAAAGTTCTTTGTTCAGACAGTCAAAAGAGACAGTACAATAAAATAACTGTTGCTGTGATAACTAGTGCAGTGCAGTGTTTTCCCACCCACACAGTGACTGAGGAATAACCCTCTTAAGGCCCAGATACACCAAACTGACATCAACGAACTAGTGGTGACAAAGACCAACTGTTGCATTGCCTCAGGCATTGCATTGTCTCCACCAAAAAGTTGTACTGAACACACTGCAAAGACTACAGCCAATAGCCAACTAGCATACACGTTCTGTGCCTGAGTGAGAGGAAATAACTTTCCCCACTAGAAAGCAGCGTTAGTCTGTACTTGTCATTCAAAAAGGGGAACCAGAAGACCAACAGACCGGATTCAAGATGCTAGTTAGCCAGTTAGCACATTAACAACATAACCCAATGTTTAAAGAATAATGGATATTTACTGTGCACTAGCAAACAATGTTGCCAAGAAGTGCACCCTGTGTTTTGCAACCTGCAAAATGCTTTCTGTGTGATCGGGGCCTTACCTTGTGTAAGAACTTTGCTTAAATCTCATAACCTCCTCACTTAAGTTTGTTTTCTTTTCTCATTTCCGTTTCTCTTCTCATACACTGAGCTGAATTACCAATCAGTTGATTTCATTCAGCAAAGAGGATCTGCCATCTCCAATGCCAACTCAAACATGCTGAATCGGCCATAGAAAAGCAGTCAAGAGCCAACTAGTGCCAACAGTGCTGGACACTCAACAAAAAATAGCGCGAGAGACATTCACTGCCAGCCTGACATTGACCAAAAGCCAACCCTTGACTTGGTGTGTCAGATCCCTTAGGGAATACCTTAGTGCATGTTTGAAGTGCAGCTTAACACTCGTTTTAGCTTTACCGTGCCCCCCTGCACATACTCAAAACATTCATTTAAACCCAGACCAAAGGCACAAGGTCAGTGCCTTGTATTTTGGTGCATTGAGGACATTTTCAGAGCTTCTCAGAGAATTTTATGACCTGTGTGGACTCCTTAATCATTCCTACCATAGCTTGATGAAGTCACACACAGACGGATGAACCAGGATGATCTAGACTCCTTCCCCAATCTTCACCAAAACATTTTCCACTCTCTGTAAACCAGGCTGATTCCAGAGTCTCCTCGCTGGTTGGTGTCTCATGGCCGTTTTCAGGAAGCAGAACTCCTGCTGAGGTCCGCAGCTCTCGAGAACCAAGTGGAGGCTCCATGTGTCATCTTCCCCTCAGCCAATGTAAGAACCTTAAACCTCAGCCTTGATCGACACACTTACCCTAAAGGACAGCAAACATTGTGCTGTAATCTCTGTCTGTCCACAGTCTGAAAAAGCAAAAAGCAAGAAGGCAGAGTCCCCCAGCTTCCTGGATCTGTTGAGGACAGCAAACATTCGACATTTAACACTTATTCTGTGGCTCATCTGGTGAGTTGAGGCACTTTTCAATTGATATAATTTCCCCCAGAAATCCTTAACTTTCTTGTTTCCTCCTTGCTAGTGCTCATAATAGCAAGGGTGATAGGTTCATCCACTGCAGTCTCTAGAGGGCGCTAACATTTAAGTTTGATTCTTTTGTTTTTTTGCAGGTTTTCTTTGAATCTAAGCTACTTCGGACTGTCCTTCAACATGTCTGGACTCTACGGCAACCCCTTCCTGAACTACTTCCTGTCGGGGGCTGTTGAGCTGCCAGCATACTTTGCTTGCTGGCTGGCGGCACGCAGTCTTCCTCGCCGCTTGTCGTATACCTGCTTCACCCTGATGGGGACGCTAGCTCTGTTCCTCATTCAGATCACGCTGAACAGTGAGTACGACCAGCTGTAATCCTTTCTTTGTGACTGTATTCATCATGTTGAAAAACTCGAAACAATGAACCATTTTCGGAACAACTGATTGTTCACTAAGCCCCACCCCTTTACTTAACATTGCTATGCCTGACAAGGATTTCTGTTCTTGCACAGCACACAAAGTTAACAATGATAACAGCTGCAGATTTACCACTGAAATAACTTAACGTGTAGCTAATAAGGGTTTTTTCTTGAGTGCTTAAGGAGTGTTTCCTCTCCCTTATCACTAACATATAGCACACCTCTCCCCCGCAGGTTATCCATCTGTCACCCTGACCCTGGTGCTGCTGGGTAAATTCGGCATATTGGCTGGCAGCGGGATGTTGTACGTGTACACTGGTGAGCTGTCCCCCACGGTCATCAGGAGCACTGTGATGTCCTCTTGTGCCATGTTTTCCAGACTGGGGTCGTCTGTTTCACCTTACCTGATGCAGCTGGGTGAGACCTTTCACTTCATCATATAGAATAAAGTAGCAGTACAATACCAGCTGAAGTAACAGCTGTGAGGCTGCCCTTCTGATGCATTCAGGTTTGGCTTTTAAAGGGTCAGTTCACCCAAATGACTAAAGTTTTTCTAGGTGTCCTCAGTTAAACCTTAAGATACAGATAGTTTTGGTTTTATCTGGTGAGGTTAAGAGAAACTTGTCTGAATTTTTATTCCTCCGCGCTGGCGATAGCCATGGCCATAGCCATTAGTAATGAGTGGAACTTCAAGCATTTAAAAATATATACTAATTTCGACCGGGTTATGTGAAAGGCATATATTCTAATCCTCATTTGTAGAAAAAAAAAGCGTCACAGAGCGTCGTTCCTGTGGGCTACAGCAAAACTAAACCCCTGAGCTTGCCTGAGAAGGACTAAATGCACAAACCTGCTATTTTTAAATATCCCATGGAGAGAGACTCTCACTGCAGCCTGTTTTATTTTGTTCTGAAAATGTTGGCGTGCAGCCTCGTTCTGTGGACGATAAACAAGGCGCAGACTGATAACAGAGGAAATACAGTGAGTGACAAAGTGAAGCACTCATGTTTTCACAGACATGAATGTAAACTGTAAGAGAAACCTGACTGATATGTAGAGGCATACAGCCATGAGGCGGAAATTCTAGTTTATTATTGTAACTCGGATTAATTCAATGCTCATAAAGTTCTGTCTTGTTTTTGTTCCAGCTGTGTTCTATCAGTTCCTGCCGTGGATCATTGTGGGTTCTCTGTCACTGCTCAGTGTTCTAGTCTGCGTTCTTTTGCCCGAGACCTTCAGACAGCCGCTGCCCGACACCATCCAGCAGATGGCGGTCACACAGGGGTCAGTCATATCCACCTGAACATTGTGATGCAAATGTTTAGCATAGGAAAAAGTATACAGTCTACGAATCTGACTATGGATCTTTGAAATGCAGTGAAAAAATTGATTGCAATTCAAAGATACGGACTTATTCTGTGCTATTTGGTCAGTTTTAGATATGATACAGAGAAGTAGAAGCGTGTCTCCAACATGACATCAGAGTTTTAAATAGGTGCAACAACACAAAGTGTAGACGAAAGAACAAAGAAAGCACCTGGCAATGAAGAACCAAAACACAAATATGTGTTCAAAATATCTATGAGAGGCAAATATGCTTATTTTAGTCACATATCCGTCTCAAAAATGTTTTAAAAAAATCTAAGACAAACACTTGACAACAGAATGAAAAAACATTGTGTATGCGCAGCCTACATAATGCAACTCTCTTCATCTGGCTTCCAGGTTCAGGTGGCCGTGGGCCTCCACACCGCCTTCAAAGGATGATGGGAAATCTGCTAAAGACCAGACTAGTGCACCTGAGGTCATCTGCTCGACTCATCTATAAGACTCCTGACACAAAAACGAATACAAACAAAACTACAGATGGCACTGAAACTGCTGGAAAACACCAAAACAAGTGTAGAACTGACGAACAAGACACTTTATGGATGGAAATTGTCTCTGCTGTAGCCTACAGCACTGAGACAAAAAAGAAACATTCATAGAAAATAAAGAGTCACACCAATGACTGTAATCTGTAGTTAATATGAAGAAGATCTGAATATGTATACTGTACAGTCTCCAGGTGGTAAGGTGTATTTTTGCTCCTGTAGCAGCAGCAACACAAAATTCAGAACTGTTAATAAAAACTTTTAGTTGTGTATATAAAGACTGTGTCGTTTGGTGTCTACCAGAATGATTCAGAGAAACCTGTGGATGTGTAAATATGTAATGTGATAAATGATTTAATAAAGAATTAATAAATAAATAATTTAAAGCTCTTTATATTTATTGTTTATTTATTATTCAGTTGACTTTGTGTTTTCATATGTGAAGTTTATTGTTTTTATTTGAACATGAATCTGATTTTGAATGTCACAGTGGTCTGAACTGGACAGGGCGTGGCCTGTCTGGCCGTGGCCCCGCCCCGGATACACGACGCCAGTTTATAAAGCTAGAGCCACGCAGTGAATCACCGGAAACGAGTCAGTCAGTCCTTCAGAATAAAAGCAAGGAGAAAATTAATTTTTACAAAATATATTTTTTCCAAACAGAGATGCTTCAAAATAATCTTGGAAAATAACACAGTGAATTTGGACAGAGAATATGCTGAAATTATTGGGAAACGTTCCTAAGACATTTGACGTTTTTGGCCATTGGTCTATCCCAAAAGTTTGGCTTTCTTTACAAAGGCTGTTACAGCCATGCAGGCCTGCTATAATGTGACAGCAGTTTATTGGTTTATTCAACACAAACAGTGCACATTAATAAGCATTAATGTAAATGTTAACCAAGAGGCAATTTGTTTTTTGTTTTTATCGGAAGTACCTGGACAGACGTTATATAGTGAATTGAAAAACAGAATATATTTGATCAATCATAATTAATTATAATTATTGCAAAGTTTTTGAGAGCTTTTATAAACATTTAGAGCAATAATAAAAAGAGAAGAGGATATTAATGTTATTTAGAAAAGCATAACACAGAATAAGCCTATACTACAAAGTCATGTACAATTTAAAACATGTAGCCTAATGCACGGACATATAACACAATACAAGGCTACAAAGAAATGAAACGGGGAATTAATGTTAATAGAAATATGTACTAAATAAGACAACACAGCTGCATTGTTAGACTCTAATTACCACATGCAAAATAGAAGCACAGACATAGGACAAATAAGACATATAATATTACAGCAGCAAAGGAAAAGTACAAACAGGAAGCATCAGTAGAAAAAAAAATAAAGTACACAGCATTATATTTATATATAAGTACATAAAGTAAGTAAACTGTACAAAAACAAAGAGCAGTATAATAACCAAACAGTATAAAACACAAGGCAATATAACAAGGAAGCATCAAAGAGAATCAGAATATAATAAAGACAGACTGAATGAGTGATTTTACATTCTTGTTAAAAATTATTATTATTAAAAATTCTAATTATCAAAAATAAAAGCAAGATATAATAATAAATAGACAGGCTGAGTGTCAGAATTGACATTATTACACATAATAGAAAGCATATACGGTATATAAAATACAAAAATCACTTGCAATAAAAGCAAAGACACAATTAAGAAAAAACATTTTATTGGTCCTCTAGCTCAGGCATTAATATTTTAATGCGTGCACATTTAAAATTTAAAGTTTTAAATTAGATTTAAACTAACTTTAATAAAAAAAAAAGCTTGGCAATAAATCTTATTCTGATTCTGAATATGATTCTGACAAAAAAAAAACACATACAAAAACATATAAAAAAGAATAAAATAATTATTAAAAAAAACATTAATAAAGACCTAATCATACAAATTGCAAACAAAAATAAATATGTATTAAAAATGTGATTGAAAGTTCATATTAACTGTTAAACATAAGCGCTCCAGCTCCTCTTGACAGACGTGTTCCTCCGGGCTTTTATTTTGAATGTCACTCTACCGGAAGTTCTCTTCTTTTACTGAGCTTCACTGCGGCTGCGCACAGCAGTCAGCTCCACCGCCTGCTCCCTGTGTGCCTCCACTGTTGTCCAACGCTAACACAGAGCAAACTAAGCTCCTCAGTGTTTTTAATGGAAAACAGATCAAATATCTCCCGATAAACCCGCCTGAGAGGAGGAAGGAGAGGAAGAGGAGCAGGAGGAGGAGACGAAGAGCCGCAGAGGAGAAGGAGTCACACGGGAGGAGAAGGAGAAGAGGAGGAGGAGGACAGGGAGAAAGGAAAAATCGGGACAGTATAATGCTGCAGAGCTGACTGAAAGGTAAGAAAACCCGCCGGATCGATACTTATTACTGATCGATCCTGAAGTTATCGATACTGAGCGGATGGTGGCCGAGGTGACGGAGGTGAAAGCCGCAGCCGCCGCAGGCTGCAGCTGCTGAATGTAGGTCATTGTGTCTGTGGGCCGAGCCGAACCAAGCCGAGACAAACCGAGCCGGGCAGGGGCGTCCTGCAGCTGCAGCCAGGCCGCAGGCAGGCTGAGGAGGAGGAGGAGGAGGAGGATGAAGGTGAAGCACTCTGCAGTGGGGCTGACGGGTGCTGCAGTGACCAGTCATTCATCAACACTAATATTACTGTACTGTTTCTGTTACTGATGATAATAATACCTGAGTCAAATGATTAAAGTTTTACACAAACAATTAAAAAGCAACAGTGCAAAAGAAACATTAAAAAAGATAAAATAATATTAAAGTATTTAGTTTAAAGGAGTATTTCTTTATAACAATGTGTTCATGACTAAAAAAAGGAATAACTCAAGTTAAACTAAAAGAACACATTTTATTTTTAAGTTTAAATCAGGGGTGTCAAACTCATTTTTAGAATCGAATTCAAGTTCGTTTGCCCCCTGAGTGCGGTTCATTTGGGTAGGTGCGCACCAAAACAACCGGACCAAGACCTTCTTGAAGAGGTGGCCTCGGTCCAGTTACAAATGAACTCTGGTGCGGTTGGTTTGTGGTGAGAACGTGTTCTGACCTGGATGTGAACCAACTGCAGTCACATGACACATTGTTTGGGTTAAACATGAGCATGTTACAGTCCTGGAGAATTATTAATGTGCACCTCCTCCTGTACTGCCTTAATATGCACATTCAGCACATCCAATGCATCAAAACATTGTTTTCTAGTTGGAGCCGCGCCTCGTTTTCAAACTGTATGCTTTGACTAAAATGAACAATGACAGCAATATAGTCCACGATGAGCAGCGCTAAAATCAACCTGTGTAGTTGTCCCTCCATTGTGACATTAGAAATTGTCACATTTATCTTGCAAGTGTACTCTTCTTCAACGTTTGCTTTACTTACTGGATTTTTCCCACATGGAAATTCTGACCAATCAAGAGCAGCTTTCTCACACAAGTTTGTGGTTTATACTACACAGACGTTACCACTGACTATACATACTTAATCTAACTTGATTCTTTTTGCACCTACAGTAGATCTGGGTGCAGCAGCCTCTGCCATGGTGATGGGTCTTGTTCTCTGGGCGTGTTTGTGACAGAAAAGTGTTTGTCAATCAGTATCGTCTGTTTTTATTCCACCACAATGTTGCATGCAAACAGTTCACCCTGGCTTTCGTGCAGGACATCAGGTTATTGCCTTGGGGAATTAATGAAACTCACAGGAAATTACAATCATGGGTCAAATTCCTGGAAAAGTTGCCGTGATTGAAAGAAAATTGCAGAATTCACGGGGATTGGCTGGATTTGCATTAGTTGTTGTGATTGCGACATCGCTGCAACATGAACAGAGAAGTCTTTGATTCCTGAAAACAAAATTAAACTAAGCTTAAATTTGAAGCTGGAGCCAAGAGACAGTTAGCTTAGCTTAGCATAAAGACTGGAAACCGAGGGAAACAGCTAGCCTGGGTCTGTCCAAAGGTAACAAAAACCTCTGATTCTCAGAGCACTGATTGAGAAACTATAACGTATTGAAACCAGAATCTGTTATTGAATGATAAACAATGATAATTTAAACCAGCACAGTGCAGAGACAGAGGATAAAAACAAACACAGCTGTGTCGAGATATTCACTGTAGGATTTAGCAAACAAGTTTCTGTAGTGGTTTCAAGTCCAAACTAGAGCTGCACCCAAAAGTTATTTCCATCACCAATTAATCTCATGATTACACACATAAAGCCACAAACAACTGACAGAAATATAAACTGACTGATTTACTGACTGACAGCGAACAAATGCTGATGAAACAGACAGTAAATCACAGGCTGAGCTGAATGTGGAGCCAAGAATCTGAATCAGCTGGGAGGAGTGCCAGCTGAGAGAAAATCCTTATGGAAAATCACTGAGCTGTCGATATAATGTTCATACTTCAGCCAGGGTTTGTCTGTCTGTGTGCTACAGTGTTCCATAGTGACCCAGTTGATTTTATCATCTGTAATATGGCTGCTGAACTCTTGTGTTGACACTCCATGTGTTTGTCATCTGAGCAGTAAGAGACAGGTCGTATACAAAGCTGTGGGCTGGTCTCTGAGGCTGTGAATTAGTGTCTGAGGTTGTGGGCTGGTCTCTGAGGCTGTGGACTAGTGTCTGATGCTTTGGGTTTATGTCTGATGCTGTGGGCAAGTGTTCTGAGGCTGTGGGCAAATGTCTGAAGCTGTGGGCTAGTGTCTGAGGGTGTTGGCTAGTGTCTGAGGCTGGGGGCTAGTTTCTGAGGTTGTGGGCTAGTGTCTGAGGCTGGGGGCTAGTTTCTGGGGTTGTGGGCTAGTGTCTGAAACTGTGGGCTAGTGTCTGAGGCTATTGGCTAGTGTCTGAGACTGTGAACTAATCTCTGAGACTGTGAATTAGTGTCTGTGGCTTTTGGCTAGTGTCTGAGGCTGTGGACTAGTGTCTGATGCTTTGGGCTTTTGTCTGATGCTGTGGGCAAGTGTTCTGAGGCTGTGGACTAGTGTCTTAGTCTGTGCATTAGTGTTCTGAGACTGTGGGCTAGTGTCTGAGGGTGTTGGCTAGTGTCTGAGGCTGGGGGATAGTTTCTGGGGTTGTGGGCTAGTGTCTGAGGCTGTGGACTAGTGTCTGAAGCTTTGGGCTAGTGTCTGAGGCTGTGGACTACTGTCTGAGGCTACTGGCTAGTGTCTGAGGCTATTGGCTAGTGTCTGAGGCTGTGAACTAATGTCTAAGGCTGTGAACTAATGTCTGAGGCTGTGAATTAATGTCTGAGGCTGTGAACTAATGTCTGAGGCTGTGGACTACTGTCTGAGGCTATTGGCTAGTGTCTGACGCTATTGGCTAGTGTCTGAGGCTGTGAACTAATGTCTGAGGTTGTGGGCTAATGTCTGAGGCTGTGAACTAATGTCTGAGGTTGTGGGCTAATATCTTAGGCTGTGGACTAGTGTCTCATGCTGTGGGCAAGTATCTTAGGCTATAGGCTAGTATCTTAGGCTGTGGACTATTATCTTAGACTGTGGACTTGTGTCTGAGGCTATGGACTAGTATCTGAGGCAGTGGGCCAGTGTCTGAAGCTGTGGGCTAGTGTCTGAGGTCGTGGGCTAGTGTCTGGACCTTTTTGCTAGCCTCTGAGGCTGTGGGCTAGTGTCTGAGGCTGTGGAGAAAAAAATTTAGCAATCAAAAACTGTTTGAATGTATATATGATTAGAGGAATGTTATTTTAAAATAGACTTGGAAAAAATGTTAACCTGAAAAATTAGGCTTTGGTCGGCAGCTGCAGCGGCACGAATTAAACCAGCGCAGTCCCCTTAAAGCTGGGTATTGTGGCTGGCTGGTGACTAGTGGCAGTGTGGGGTCTAACCTTTGTAATGGCAACAACCTAAAGTTTGCTGATCCAGCAGGAAGCTGGGGCTATCTGGTGCCCTGGAGCTTGGCTTTGAGCTGGCTGGATTCAGGTTGCTGCAGCCGCTGTCTTTGGAGCTTATGCCCACTTTCCACCCAGCAAAGTGTTCTGTAGCAGCGGGGAATGAGACTGAGGAGGCACTATCATTTGAGGCTGTAGCTAAAATTAGCTACATAAATGTGAACTTGAAGCCACAGCTGTGAGCCTTTGGCTCCAGCTATCAGAGGGCTACACTACCGGCAACATTTTCACATTTGTAAAACGGTCTGCCGACACTGACGGGTATTTAGAGTCTCTGTTTGATAAGTCCGTCTTCCTTTTTTTGGGTTGCTTTGTAGTGTAGGCAGTCATTGCCAATGCTGGAAGAGCAACTTTCTCTGCACCATTGAATCAGGCTTTCACCAAAGGGATGGCCAAAGTCTCCTGTCATGGCCTAGATTTTCTAAAGCCTCAAAACAGAGCCAAGAGGGGGTGCAGAAGTCTAGTGTTCTCTGAGTCCGCTTAAATTACAATATCCTGTAAGTTTATTATAGGATTTTTGCCCAATGATGCCAAAATTACACTGCCTACTCCGGCTTTAATTGTCGTCTGTATGTTTGTCTACAGATGTCCAACGTTACAGTGGAAGCGACCAACATGCTCCCCATCCTCAAGAAGAAACTGGCCTTTCTTTCAGGTACACACACACAAACACACACACACCAACCATGAGATAACATGTCTACATGTGAGGAGCGTGTAATCTCAATTTACATGCAGTTTGGGCTGTAATCAGATCTACCGGTCTGTCTCTCTCTTCAGGGGGCAAAGATCGGCGCAGTGGTCTGATCCTGACCATCCCTCTCAGCTCAGATCAGACCAGCATGGAGGAGCTCAGCGCCACGCTGGACTACCTGCTCAGCATCCCCAGGTATACACAAACATGCAGTAACAGCAGTAGTGACACTCTGGTATGCGTCTGTTCTGTCTCACTTTTAATGTCTTTATACAAGTTTGGAGTTAATGTGTCACTGAGGAGCTGCTGGATGTGTACTTTGTATCTTGTCTAAATCCTGCATGTTCAGCTGTGTTGTAAAAGGCTTAAAGGATGATTCCAGTTTATTACAACTTGAGTCTTATCGCTTTGGCCCGAATATGAGATGACCCTGATTATAAGATGACCCCTCCCCTTCCAACACCTGTTTTTGAATATTCAGACACTCTCAGATTAGTCCTGTCAGGCGGCGGTGGAGTACATTTACTCAAGTATTGTAAGTAAGCATAATTTTGAAGTACTTGTACTTGAGTATTTCCATTATACTACTTTCTTTTTCTACTAAACTGTTTTTTTTTGATACATTCTACTCTACTAAAATTATTTAACAGCTTATAGTTGTGTTTACAAGCTTTTATTGGTGATTTTTCACTGTAGAAGGCGCTGCTGTTCTCAGTGAAAGTCATTCTCCAGCTACAAGGACACTGCTATGTGTAGCTACATGCTAATGTCAGGGATAATTGTAATCTTGAATGTGTTGCTGTTAATTTCTCCCCGATTTCCGATCATATTTCTGATGGAACATGCGTGGTTGTGTGCCAAACTCTGTTACAGTCATTCCCCCAGCTGTAAATACACTGCTACATGTAGCTACATTTAATTTCAGGGATATATGTAATCTTGGTTGTTGATGTTGTTAATTTCCCTGATTTTGGATCATATTCCTGCTAGAACATACATGATTGTGTTTATGAGCTTCTATTGATAATTTTTTACAGTAGAAAGTGCCCCTATTTCCCATTAAGGTCATTCCCCAGCTGCAAGTACACTGCTACATGTAGCTACATGCTAACATCAAGGAAACCTGTAATCTTGGTTGCAGATGTTGTGGATTTCATCCCAATTTCAGATCATATGCCTGCTGAAACATGTCTAGTTATGTGTCTTTTATTGGTGATTTTTCATGGTAGAAAGTGCTGCTATCCTCTGTGAAAGTCATTCTCCAGCTGCGAGTACACTGCTACGTGTAGCAACATGCTAACGTCAAGGAAACCTGTAATCTTGGTTGCGGATGTTGTAAATTTCATCCCATGTTCAGATCATATTCCTGCTGAAACATGTCTAGTTGTGTGTCTTTTATTGGTGATTTTTCATGGTAGAAAGTGCCGCTATCCTCTGTGAAAGTCATTCTCCAGCTACGAGTACACTGCTACGTGTAGCTACATGCTAATGTTAGATAAACCTTTCGGATTATATTCCCCCTGGAAAATGTGTGATTGTGTTTAGGAGCCTGTATTGGTGATTTTTCACAGCAGAAATCTTAATCTTGGTTGTTAATGATATTAATGTCTCCACAATTTTGGATTATATTCCGTTTGGAACATGTGTGATTGTGTTTAAAGGCTTTTATTGGTGACTTTTCACGGTATAAAGTGCTGCTAATCTCAGTTGCGGTCGTTTCCCGGCTGCAAGTACACTGCTACATGTAGCTACATGCTAACGTCATGGATGTTCTCTTAGTTGTTGATGTTCATTTCTTGCTGGATTATGTGTGATTGTGTTTAGAAGCTTTTATTGGGGATTTTTCATTGTAGAAAGTGCAGCTAAACTCTGTTACCGTCATTCCTCCAGCTGCAGTGACAGTGCAGAGACACTGCGATGGGGAAGATACGTAAACACTTAATCAGAGCAGACAGCTTTTTCGGGAGGGGGGGCTTTAGGATACAGTGATTAAACAGTGTTTCGGACAGAGGGTGAATACAGGTGCTCCAGTACAGACAATACGAGGAAAATAAAGACGTTTTTTTTTTAAACATTAAAGCATGTGAACATGTTTTAGTAGAAACCCAAGTACAAGCATGAGTATTTTTACAAAGTATTATTTTTACTTTTAGTTAATAAAATGATCTGAGCACTACTTCTACCACAGCTGTTGGGAAAGTTTCCCTGAGATACTAACAACAGAGAGTCCTCACCTTTGAAGACTTTTCTCACGTAAACATGAAATCCCTCCATAAAAGCATAACACAGCTTGTTTTTCATACTCTCACTCTCTCCTGTCAGAGTGATTTTCTCTGGTTGTTTGTATTTTTCAGTCTGTTTTTTTTTATACCTCCACTCCATGACGTTCTCTGACAGCAGTAATTTTTGGCAGCTTGACGGATGATTCAGTCCTCGTTACGTTTCCGCAGTAAAGATGTCAACTTGTTATCACCTGTCAAGAATTTATTTCCTCCAAAACATATTACACAAGCTGTTTGAAATTCCTTTAGGTTAAATTGGGCTCAGTGGAATCAAGGAACATCAAGGCTACAATCAACACATGATGCAACACTGTCTGTCAGAGCTGATTTACTCTCTCCAGTCAAAAAGAATATCTGATGCAGCGAATACAAATGTGTCTTCAGATATAATACTATCCTGGGTTTTTCCACCATAATTTCCGACAATAAAATGTTTTTATGTTCGGGCCAATACCATATTTTCAGGTCTTATTTTTGTGGTTTTAGATATGGTTTATGTGGGCCATAAATCACAGAAATTAAATCTGAAAGTATATATAAGACCAAAGTTATAATAAACTTGAATTATTCTTTAAATCTTTGCAAATAAATCTACCAGTGATACTAGTTTTTAGTCTGTCAGTGTTCGTTGCATTGGAAAGCCAACTTATTTGTCCAGTCTAAGTAAATATGGGTGAATGGATCACTCCGACTCTTTGAAGCACAATGAAAAATTTAAACTCTTAAGTGGGATTTATACTTGTGCCTCAGTTCTATGCAGAGCCTGTGCCAAAACTCACATTAAACACACATTAAAAATGGCTTAAAAGGGACAATTTCAAACAAATCAGCTTCACTATAACTCGCAGCATTCACAGACAAACACTTGTCTTTATCTGGACACATTTTCCCCACAAATACAACATGCTAATGTTTTTAGCATAAACCTATGGCATTTAACATTGTATAAATTAGCCTAGCAGCTAGCGGACTTTCCCTTTACTCATATGAAGCCAGGGACAACAGCAACATTTAACAAAGGTAATGTTAAACAATTCTGCTCCATTACCACTCACAAAATTCACTGACAAAACAACTGTCTTATACTAAACACGTTTTCTAATGAAATATAACATGCTAACGTTATTAGTACAAGCCTATGGCGTTTTACATTGTATAAATTAGCCTAGCGACAAGCGGAGATTTCCTCTGCTCATATGAAGCCAGGATAAATCACACACAAGACTTAAAATGCTATTTTTGTGGAGGCTTTATTGTCTTCACAATTTATTGTTTCTTATCTGAAATTGAAGTAAATAAAAGCTTCATTTCCACTGAGGGAAGTGGTTTCAGCTTACAAACACAGACGGGAGGTCTGTGTCGCCACAACGTGTAGTTGCATTTCTGGGGAGGTGTGTGTCAGGCTACGGCGCAGGGTACAGCATTGATTCAACACAGAAGTATAAATCCAGCATTAGTTTACACACTGATTTTTTTAAAAGAAGGAAAACAACAAACTCTTACACTTACTAAAGTCATTTTGGGTTGACATCCCAAATACTGCATAAACAGGAAATTGTATGTAAATGTTTGTGTGTTTGAATGATCTCCTTGTTTCATAAAATGCTTCCTCTCTCCCTCTTTCATAGTGAGAAGTGTAAAGCTCGGGGTTTCACTGTCATCGTGGACGGACGAAAGTCTCAGTGGAACATTGTGAAGACTGTGGTGCTCATGTTACAGGTACAAACACATTCACTGTGCCTCCAGGCTCGGTAATACTGACATTCATGACAGGATTATAAGAGCTGAGGATGATGATGCTTTTGTTGCTGTTTCAGAATGTGATTCCAGCCGAGGTTTCGCTGGTTTGCGTGGTGAAGCCAGATGAATTCTGGGATAAGAAGGTCACACACTTCTGTTTCTGGAAGGAGAAAGACCGCCTGGGCTTCGAGGTGAGTCTCTCAGCTGATGCTCCCAAACCAGAGTTTTCTTTATACTGATTCAATGTCCTCTCCTGCACTGAGGGGGAACTGATGTGATTTTCGAACCAGATGCTTTTGTATCTGATTTTCTGTCTAAAGCCCAGTTCGGGCCAAAAACGACAGGCAACTACTTGTAATGCAACGTTCTAAAAACCCTGCAGTTCACACCAATGCAACTAGATGAGACCGTGTATCATCTCTATGCAACAGTTCTCTGTACTTCTGTTCTGATTTCAGCTTTTCAGACTTATTTTGTGGCTGAATATAATTTGTAGCTTCTTAAAATATGAATGAGGATAGTGATAGTGAGATACTGGCTACAGCTGCTTTTGCAGTAGTGATGAAACGGCGAAAAACAGAAAACGAGCCTCAGATGGACTGTATTCATGATAAATACGCTACAATAATATAAGTAAGGCAGCGCCAATTAGTTAGTCAATAAGAGTGTGTGTGGGCGGGGCATAAGCACATACAGCGAGCAGCTGCAGTGACCCACCATCCGACACCAGCACACTGTGAGGACATAAACAGAGGGCACGGCGGCGTCGGAGCACCTGCTGCAGGAAGCTAACATATCATATGCGGTCATTTTAACTTGACCAGCAGACTTCAGTACAAGCCCACTGGCTGTTGAAACAGGTGACAAGCTTTACGTTCATAAATCAGCCACTGGCGATTTGACCAGCTGAGTTGCAGGTGACACCATCGGTCAGCTTGAGTCGAGCTCAGACCGGCCTGTTCACACTGCTGCAACTTTTCTCTGCAACGTTCTAAAACGCTTTCATCTTGTTGAGAATCTTTGGTCTGAACTGGGCTTAACATGAACTTCACTTCAAACTAGATACAATCTGACACCATTTTGGGTGTCAAAGTAGGGCTGGGCGATATCGAGGAACATCGAATATCTGCATATTTTTGACCAAATACCTTGATATCGATACTGTGACGATATTGTGGGTTGACTATTGGTTCTCTCAGAAAATATTTACACAATGAGATTTTTGTTCAGCAAGATAATCTTAGCAAATGAACACTACTTTGATTTTTGAGGCCTAAATGCAAACCACCAGAAGTCAAAAGCTAACGTTAGGCTATAAATGAACTACACCACGGTCGCATGACCTAACGTCACCACCATAACAAGACTATAAGGTGTGTTTGTTGTAATGGTGTTCTGTATTCTCATTTGGCTTCTTGTTAGCAGCCGTTTTTTTCAAGATTCATGGAAACTTCAAAGTTGACACATGGGGTATTTACAGACGTATTTTATGTCGTAAAACAAAACGTGAAAGTCCTTTAAGCTTGTGTGAACCACAGACCACAGGAATCTTACCAAATAACCATTAACTTTGAGACGAGGGAAGCGGGAATGCTAAACTGATAAAACTCATATCTGGATTTTAGGACTCATTCCTGGGGCTCTCTGTTATCTGATTTCGCCTTTGTAATATTTCCCAGCACTTTTGACTGAGTGCTGTGTCCCCACCGCTCGACCAGTCGTTCATAAATCCTCCGGTCCACACTTTGGTCTCCTCTCCCCAGATAGTTAAGGGTTCCATAGTGTTGAATAGTTGTTTCACTAAAGGCAAAAATCTTCATGGCTGTTCTGAACAGCCACACCAGAAGGTGAGATTCAAAGTCGCAGATTCCTTCTCAATTTGAAATAATCTCAGAGACAAACAGACTGTCTGTTGATCCAGTTTTTGCTGTTGTGGGGACATTTTGTTCCTAAACACACGATGAATTGTGTTGTTACCTGATATCAGACAGCCAGTTACGATAACCTCGAGCTGTCCTGAGTGCTGCTGAAACCTGAGCCAGGGTCGATTGTGTGTGTGTGTGTGTGTGTGTGTGTGTGTGTGTGTGTGTGATTTTTCGGCCAACCTCCTCCTCTATTATAACAGATGGTTTTACTGACAGAGATCAGTAGTCTCTGTGACCCAGATTTCTGCAGCCATGTTGGCTCTGTAGTTGTTGCCACGGTAACCGGAGTGAGTTGGTGGATGTGTAAGCGACTTGAAAGTTGCTGCAGATAACAGATAATCCATCGCAGCGGACGATTAGGCGACTTTATTTACAGTTGAGTCAAAGTGGAGTTATCATTGTGCGCCGAGAGCAGAGACTGTCCCTGGTGGTGCGTTCAAGGACGCTCCGACATTTAATTAACAGTTTAAATGTTGAGTTGTGAGATTGTTTACTGACTGAATATGTTTTGAAAGATGAAATGATTTGACAGATGATGTGCTGGGGTTGAGTTTATTGTTAAATTTGTTGGCGTACTCATCTTCATCACACACACTCACTCACACACACACACACACACACACACACACACACACACACAGCTGCTGGAGGGAGATTCCAGTGACTGCTGAAATGTGACTCATCTAAACTATGAAGTGTGTGTGCGGATGTCACAGTGGGGTGTGTGTCCTGCAGTTGCTCCAAAGTCTGACCTGACATTTAAATACACACACACACACACACACACACACGCACACTGAGCTGAGTCAAATGTCTCTGACTGCATCTGCCGCAGTGACAGCTGGAGGAACGACTCATCACCAGCTGTCTGACTGTCCAGGTTTATTTGTAAAGCTCATATGAGCGCAGTTTAAAGTGAGTGATAACACGAAAGGATCCAACTTTTCTGTGCCGTACAGACAGGCACAGAAAAGAAGGTCAAGGTCAAGGTCTAAATCTTCAGCTAAACTTAGAAGATGGTCTTTTGTGAAACCTCAGATCAGCTCGCAGGCTGTTAATGAACACTGAACGCTCAGTCTCCAGATTTAGAAAGTGCTCTGGGAAGCCAAAGGAGAATTTTGTCTTGTGATCGCAGACCTCCACTGGGATGGAGCACTGGAGCAATGCTTGATATGTAATCTGTGAACAGAGCAGATATAAAACATCTAAGTAAGGGTCTAAAGAATGCTCCCAAATAGGGCTGCATGATATCTCTTTCTTTTTGTCATCTTAATGTCAACTTGTGGGATAAATGCATCATGAAACACTGTGATGTTGCACTTGTGTTTATTTCAGTGTTCAATTTTTTAGGAACAAAATGTTAGAAATATTTTCCTTTTTATTTTTAGCAAGTAATAAAATATCACAGTATTCAACAACATTATCATCTTATATTTTCCTTTTTTTATAATCATTATTCTTATTGTTTTCTTTTGAACTGGAAAAAAACAGCATCGTATGGCCATATAAATCTGTAAAATCAGGGTACAAGGACTGAAGAGGTAACACAGTTATAGTTAGGCAGAAGACAGCGCTGAGACAAACTAACTAAAAGAAAATTAACTATACTAAAAAAAAGAATTAAATAATCATTGTTAGACATGAACATAGCTGAGTGTCAGTCAAGGATCAGGGACCTTTAAATGAAGGAGATGTAATTTGCATCTTATATTTTCCTTTTATCGCACAGATGGTCCTAAACTTTGATTTTAGTGTCAGAAAGTAGAAGGAGCTTTGTTTAAAGACATCGCAGTGTGATTCTTCAGTGCTGACTGCAGAGTTAAAGGGATAGTGCACCCAGAAATGAAAATTCAGCCATTATCTACTCACCCATATGCCGTGGGAGGCTCAGGTGAAGTTTTAGAGTCCTCACAACACTTGCGGAGATCCAAGGGGAGAGGAGGTAGCAACACAACTCCACCTAATGGAAGCTGACGGCGCCCCAGATTAAAACGTCCAAAAACACGTAATTGAAACCACAAAATATCTCCATACTGCTCGTCCGTAGTGATCCAAGTGTCCTAAAGCCCAGACATAAAAAGTTGTTTGGAAAGACGTCATTTGAACTCTGTTGTTAGCCTCATTGTAGCCTGTAGCTCTGACTGCCTCTCTATGGTCCACGCTCACATGTGCGCTTGCGCGAGACCAGCGAACGCTTGTGAACACACATGAACGGACGAGCAGTATGGAGATATTTTGTGGTTTCAATTACATGTTTTTGGACGTTTGAATCTGGGGCGCTGTCAGCCTGCATTAGGTGGAGTTGTGTTACTACCCCCTCTCCCCTTGGATCTCCGCAAGTGTTGTGAGAACTCTAAAACTTCACCTGAGCCTCCCTCGGCATATGGGTGAGTAGATAATGGCTGAATTGTCATTTTGGGTGCACTATCCCTTTAAGAAAACAAGGGACTATAATTACACCTTTCCAAAGTGCCCTCCCTCAAATACTTAATCAACCTTAGTCTTAGCTGCAGGAAGCCTGAGCTCAGCAGAGCTGGAGATAAAGATGCTTGTTGTTTGAGACAGAGAGAGAAAGAAGGAAAGAGAAGGGGAAAGTTGGTTAGTCAGAACGTCTGTCTGATGTCAGACCGAATTGTCATTTGGCCTAAATAATCATAACACTGATCTGTATGAATCAGATTTAAAATCCATCCATCCATGTATCCATGTTAAATATAACAATGTTCTCTGTGTTGGTGTGTGTGCTTCCTGTCAGGTGATCCTGGTTTCGGCCAATAAGTTGACTCGTTACATTGAACCCTGTCAGCTGACGGACGATTTTGGAGGAAGTCTGGACTACGACCACAACGATTGGCTCAACAAGAGACTTGTCAGTATTTTATTTTAGATACAGTTATGTTTGTTTTTCTGCTTTTAATTTTCTTTTCAGTCTGAGCATGTTTTTGTTTACATGTCTTTTTTTGTTGTCAGGTTTTTGAGAAGTTCACCAAGGAGTCGACGTCGCTGCTGGACGAGCTGTCGATTATCAACGACAGTGACAAGAGCAGCTCGGTGGACAAGGAGAAGTACGCACGTGCACACACCCACACACACACATAGGTTAAAGTGTACTACAGCAGAGAGATTAAATTAGAGCTGTGTCTCTCTGTCCTCTACAGATCAGCTGACTGTGCCCTTCTGCCGTCCTTTGACCCTGAGACTGTCCTTCAGACAGGTAAATATCAACTCCTCTTATTTCAGACATGCACATCTTTATAAATGTGAGAGCAATTTTACATGTTGGTCTTAAGTTTGAGACAGATTTAACATACTGGCTGTTTTCAGGATTTTATACCCGATCACGCACAAAGCCTCTTAAATTATCTGATCAGATAATGGGGAAAAAGAGATGACGTGGGGCGCTTTCCCACTCTGAGTTTAAGTTTTGTCAACTCAGAGCGCTCTGGCAAAAATGCAAAGCACCCAGAGCGCGGAGCAAAACACTTCATTCTCATTAAAAACAATTGCAAAAAGTCGCCTCCAGCTGCTTAAATGCTGTCTGTGTGCTTCTACCAAGACTTGGAGCTACATAGACATTAAGGATGGATGGTTTAATGATGGATGGATGGATGATGGATGGCTGGCTGTGGTCACTGTACTGAGCAGCCCTGTGTCTGCGTATTGGTCGGAGGTGAAAGGACTCTTTGTCTGTGGTACCACCCTCCTCCCTCTACAGCATGTACACACACACACACTGACGCATTATTGTTTTCAAATGCTTTTATAATAGGCTTTTAAATCTCAAACCATCCCTCCCTCTGCCTCCCTCTCTGTCTGTCTGCAGGTCACGAGCTGCTGTCTGAGCTGCAGCAGCGGCGATTTAACGGCTCAGAGGGAGGAGGAGGAGGACAGGGAGGTGAGGAAGCGGCCAGGTGTCACTGCGGTGGTGCGGCTCACACAGCTGAGCGGATGAATGGATGCATGAATGGATGCATGAATGGTCATATGTATTGTTTTGTGCTATTTTTGTCTCTGAGCTGTTGAATGAAGTCATTCAGTTGTTCCAGAGGACTAGGCAGGAAACTCCAGTGTGACACAATGTTTGAAGGTACTGCACAGACTGCTAGAGTTCTAGGTACTGTATAAGCACAATGCGACAGTGACCTCTGTGTCTGTTATTGTGAACCAGACATTATCACCCAACCAGCCAGTTTCATAAATCAGTGTATGCTGCCCTACTCAGCCTTTAAAGCCTGAGCTGATATTTTAATGTCCTGAAAACGACCGTGTGCAGGAACCTTTTTATACCATTACACCAAAGATTAGGAGACGTCCTTGACTAAAACCCCCACGTCTGTTTGAACTCTCTCTGACCTCTGACCTCAAGGTCCAGCCTGGTGTCCCATGGAGGAGGAGCTGCTGGCTCAGCCTCAGGTGATGAAGCTGCTGGACTCGCTCCGGGAGCAGTACACCCGATACCAGGAGCTCTGCCGGCAGCGAAACAAGCGCACCCAGCTGGACGAGATCCACGCCAAGGTCATGCAGGTAACGTGCACGCAGATGAGAAGGTCTGTGAGCTAAGGATAGACCGATACATTGGCCGTCCAATATTTCGGGCCGATATTTGAGTTTTTTTACTTGTATCGGCATCGGCCGATACGCGCGTGGGTTCGCGCATTTATTTTTCCCTGGCACTTTTTTTCATTTGAAAGTATGTGGTTAAGTTGAACAAAGCTGTTGAATCCTACTGTGTACAGTAGTTGTTGTTTTATTTATGCTTCAGCTTAAATATTTGTTTATTTTATAAAGACATTACTGGAAGATTTAAGAGCACTGAACTCTTTTTTTTATTTGAATGTATAATAATAATAATAATAATAATAATATTCTACCTGTTCTACCTCAACTTTCCATCTTGTTTTAGTATTTTTTACTGTTCAATAAATGTTTCTTATTTTAAACTTGAGACCTGTAATATTTGTTATCATTGTGTAATTTTTTTGATGTAAACTGAGGGAGCAAAAGCAGTATCGGCCCCAAATATCGGCTCAAGAAAATCGGCAGTCCATAATCGGTCATCGGCTAAGGGTGATGGAAAAAAATTGGTATCGGTATCGGCATCGGCCCTAAAAAATCCATATCGGTCTATCCCTAGTGTGAGCGGCTGTGAACGTGTGTCTCCATCAAGCAGCAACCTGAAAATGAAGTCAGAGTGCAATCAGTCATAGCAAGACAGCGGATGATTACCTGCAAGGTTTGTTCTGTAACTACAGATTGTCAGGGACCAAGTAGTGAGGCAGCAAGGACGCAGGAGGTGTTGACAAAATTGTGTTGTTTTTTTTTTTCTTTTACCCTCGTGGACGGTTCATGATTTTAATTGTTGTTTTCTTCCTGTATAATGCATCAAGACTAACACATGACTGAGACACTGATGGTAGGTGGATTATGCTTTAGATTTTAGACAGACCCAGACTAGCTGCTTCCCCCGTCTGTGTCTAGTCGATGTTTCACACGTGTAAACAAACTCACGTGCAAGTTGTCCCAGACGTAGATCCTTATTTAGTGAGCAGTGACGTCCCTTCCAGGCGTCTCCTTTCTGTGTTTACCTTTGGTGAGATTTAGAGACAAGTGCTGTGAAAAAAGAAATCACATTTATTTGTAAAGCTGTCGGAGGCTTATGCAGCTTGTCTCGATGTACGTTGTTTGGCACGAGTCCTTTTTTTCTCTGAATCTCTACAGCAGAGGCAGCAAGAGCAAAGTTAGCACAAGCACTGGAGCCACATTAGAGACTTTTATGGGAAATACATTTAACTCTCCTCCCAAATTTCAAACTGTTCCTTTATAACGTTCACCGCTCCTCCTGCAGTTCATGTTCCTGAGCAGAGCACCAATGTGTAAATATCTCCTCCACCCGCCTGCAGCGCTCCGTATACATCGCTGCAGTATCATAAAGTCTCTTTGCCCTGATTCTTTTATCATCCAGTCTTTGACCTTTGACCCGTAGAAACAGAGTCAGTGAGCAGCTCTTCAGTAGACGTAGACTCTGCTGTGGTTACTGGGGCTCCTGCAGCCGCAGGGGCTGACGGGTAACACCACTGTCTTGGAGATGAGCCTGGGGGTTGCCATGGGAACCGCACCATGTCGGCTGCTAGCCGGGATTTGAGGTTGGGGGGTGTTGGCCTAGTTCTGGATAGAGGAGTGTGTGTGTGTGTGTGTGTGTGTGTGTGTGTGTGTGTGTGTGTGTTAGCTCTGTAAGGCATCACTGACCTGATAAATACAATTAAATCATGATACTCAAACACACGCATCTGGATAGACTGTCCCAGATGTTACTGTTTCATTTCACATTTCAACTTCTACTTATAACCAGATCATATTCACTTTATGTTGTGTTATTTTGTAATGGACAAACAAAGAAAGTCCTTTTAACTTTTTTTTTCTACCCCCAAAGTAATCATCCACGAAACACAAGGTCACTATCAAACAAGACACACTCACAGAATTCCACAAATACCCAAAATTTTCACTGTAAATATTATGGAAAATACACATATTTTTAATTAGATTATCAAATAAAATAGGTATTTTTTAAAAATTTTTCCCTTTTTTTTTCTTGGAGATTTTTAAGAGTAGTTTCTGACTTTTTTAGAGGAAGTTTAAAGGGCCGCTCCACTGAGTTTACACATTAAATTACCTCGGATCAGACTTGAGTCTTCACATTTTGCACAGGCAGCTGTTGTTACAAACTTGAGACGTGGCGTTTGAAAGATGTGCCACGCAGAGAGGGTCTATCGAAATAATTTGAGAAATGTAGGCTCTAGTGTTTTATGGAGCCCCGTTTCCACCAAGCAGTACAGTTCAGTTCGGTATGCATTTTTTTCCGTTTCCACTGTGAAAAGTTGTGGATGGTACCAATGGAACCGTTCTATACCGTCCCCATTTTTGGTCCCCCCTCTGTTGGGGTACCTAGCACACAGATCTGGTACTAAAAGGTGGAGCTGTGAACACTGCAGTCTGATTGGTCAGTAGAGGACGGTCACTCTGCTCAGGGCTGAGTTGTGGCTGGTTTTGAGGCTCATGTAACCACTGTTAATTGTCCACTGGTCAACCATGAAGCCTGTAAATATATTTGTGGAAGAAATATTGTTTGTTTACTGATTTTGATACAAACTTTACAAGAAAACCTGTATGGGCAGCGACCATCAGAGAAAATGATGTTTGACATAACAGGATATGTTGGTCTGCTTCTAAACTTCCTCACATAAAGACAGGTGGAGCCTCAGAGCCCCCTGTTGGTCACTGTGCTGCACTGCAGCGCTGAGACTTGTGTCTCTTACAGCTCCTCTCACAGCAGACATTTTGAGATCACAGGAGGAAAAGCACAGGTGTGATTGATAAAATAATTTATGGTGGAATTAATTCAATTAAGCTGCTTCAGTTTCAGGGTCCTGATTATGAGCATGTTGGCTTACATTCACACCATCATGGCTTGTGCCTGTTGTATGTAACTGAACTTAAAGCTCTGTGATTGGATGTATCATATTGAAATACACCTTGGGAATCATTATTAACTTTTTATCTAACATTTGATTGTACACAGGCTTGAGCCAGATATTTACTGACACAGTTATCGTCCATCTAAACAACAAATATCGTATATTGAGAAATAGATTTGGGCCTTCACTCCTGAAATCAGCACTTCCCACTTCTGCCTCCACACTAAGTCTGTATCTTGTATTTTCTGTCTGTGTTTACTTCAGGTGGTCACCTGGCTGCAGGGTCCAGGTTCAGAGCTGTTGAAGACCCAGCAGGCGATCGGAGACTCGATGCGAGCGGCTCAGGCTCTGCAGCAGAAACACGAGGAGATCGAGAGCCAGCACAGTGTAATGCAACACATTTAACACACACACACACACACACACACACACACACACATCATCATGTCAAGCACAAACTAATGAATCAGATTTAAGTGGAGTTTTTTCTTTGATGGTTCCACTCTGTCGGATCCAATAACCGTTCACACATGAGATCTGTGGTTTGAAGTATTGAAAAAGTGTACGATTCAGAACGAGGCAAATATATTAAAATGGGCAGCTTATGATAGAAATGTTAAACCAGGATTTAAGCAACGAGGAGCAAAAGGAATAAGCTTGGTGTGTTTTGGAAAAGGATGGGGGTTTGGAGAGTTTGAAAATCTGAGAGGAAAATACAAATTATTTTGCTGTTGTAACGACATGTCAGTGTCACACAAATTGTTTTGATAAAGACTTAAGTGGGAAAAAAACTTGACACTGCAGGTGAATATGAGCATTGGGCTGATTCTGTGTGTGTGTGTGTGTGCGCATTTACAGGAGTGGTTTGCGGTGTATGTGGAGTTGAACCAGCAGATCGCTGCCTTGCTCAGTGCCGGGGAGGAGGAGGAGGTGGTGGAGCTGAAGGCGCTGCAGCAGCAGCTGAGCGACGTCTGCTACCAGCAGGCCGCTCAGCTAGAGGGCCGACAGAACGTCCTGCAGGCGGCGCAGGGCTTCCACAGCACCACGCAGGAGGTAACACGTACACACTTTTGTTCTGGTCACAAACTAAAAACTAAGGCTAGAACATTCAGGATGAGGCCAAGTGCAGGCAACCGGCAAGTAAATAAAGTGTCTGTGATTTATTCTGAGCAATCACACTGTCTCTGCAGTTGTCCCAGCAGTTGGACGGTCTACTGGGCATGCTCTGTGCGGACGTGGCTCCAGCTGACGGAGCTTCGATTCAACAGAACCTCAAACTGTTGGAGGAGAAGCTGCAGACTGTCGGTTGGTGCTCTGAATGATAACGCTTGACCTTTGAAACAATAGTGCTTTTCGTGATATTAATTAAGTACGTTCATCTATGTCTCATCCCCACAGAGGCAGGTCTTGGTTCTCTGCGCCAGAAGGGGACGGTATTAATGGAGCAGATGTGCACCCAGCCATCGTGGCCTCTGGAGGAGACGGAGAGTCCAGCTGGAGAACAGCAGGACAACGTTCAGCACATTCAGGCGGTGATGGAGGAGATGCAGCTCCGCAAGCAGAGGTGACCTTCTTCTTCTTCTTCTTCATCTTCTTTTCACAGCAGGGAACCTCGTGGGGTTTCTTTATGAGTCTGTCCAAAAAGCTGAAACATGATACTGAAGTTTAAGACAAATTGTGGTTCTACTACTGAGCTACATGATCATATTTTAGCAACGTGAGACTCCCACATATTTTGTTAGTGTTCTACAACTACAGCTTCCAAGAGTCTTTTACTGGACCGATAAGTCAATCAAACTTTATTTGCACAGCATGTAAGTGGTGGTTGGGGGTGGGTGGGTGATGACATCCACGACACACAGACCAAATCGGACCCTCATGGTCATGCGGAGGTGGAAAGTCTGAATTGGCCTTTAGTTAGGATATGTGAATGAAGCCATTAATCGTGTGTGTGTTGCAGGTGTGAGGACATGGTGGACGTGAGGAGGCTGAAGATGCTTCAGATGGTGCAGCTGTTCAAATGTGAAGAAGACGCTTTACAGGTAGGAAAGACAGCAACAGACACATGCACACACGACAGCACTTCCTGTATTGATGAGATGATGATTGTGTGTGTGTGTTCAGGCAGTAGAGTGGCTTGGCGAGCTGTTGGACGCTCTGTTGAAGACTCACGTCCGGCTGGGTGATGACACTCAGGAGACCAGGACCATGTTGGACAAACACAGGAAGTTTGTGGATGTCGCTCAGGTGAGACACAAAAATTATCAACTTTATGAGACGAAACAATTCTACAAACAAAACAATAACAATAACTCTGCCTCTCTGTCGGTATCTGTCTTCCTGTCTCTTCCATCAGAGCACGTATGATTACGGCCGTCAGCTGCTGCAGGCGACTGTCGTCCTCTGTCAGTCTCTGCGCTGTACGACACGCTCGTCCGGAGACACTCTGCCGAGACTCAACCGAGTCTGGAAGCAGTTCAGCGTCAGTGCCGAGGAGAGACAACAGAGACTGGAGCTGGCTCTGAACTTCCATACTGCTGCCGAGAGGGTGAGACAGGCACAGAGAGAGAAACCTCATGGTGTTGTCATGTGTCAGAAGTAGCAGCAGCAGTAAAAATCATGTGCAGTCTCGGCCATTGTTGCCGGGCTTGTACAGTAGATGCAGCTGAAATCTACGAGTCACATTATTGCAGCCATGTGGACTTTGAACGTCTTCAGTATGTGTTTTTTTCTGTGTTTCAGGTGTTACAGCTTGAATGTGTGGACCCAGAGTCTCTGGATGAAGTCGACGCCTCTGGGAAAACTCTGCTGGACAGACTGGCCCTGCCTGTGATCTTCCCTGATGGGTGTGTACTCACACACACACATACACCACTACATGCCTAACCCTAACCCCAACCCTATCCTTAAACCTGCAATAATGGACTATTTGGGCTCTTTGGGGGCGGCAGAAACAAGCTGTGAACACAATACTGCCATATCATCACCCTTTAAAAGCTCAGACATACTTTCACACGGACCAGCACACGTTTCTATCTATAGTACAATTGTGAGTCCATGTCAGTCCCCAGCAGGGAATGGGAGATCTCCGTCTGAAGGTGTTGCTGGGTCAGTTGTGAATGTCTGTTGGGTATTCAGGTTAAAACTAAATTCACCACGGTGCTACAGCAGCTGCTGGATTTACCGAGAGCCGCAGAGTTGTGGACTGAACTGTGGAACACGAGATTATATTTTGGAATTGGAGCATGCACAGTCAGCACTTTTGATATGTGTATAGTTTGAGTGGTCACAAAAAAGTTCAGGCAGGACATGATGTCAAGCTCAGCTCAAATCCCAGCTACATCAGCTGATCTCAAATAGCCCAATCAAGTGATGGAGCAGCTGATTGATGGAAGGGAGTCAGCTGATTCACAGGATTCCTTTCTACGCAACCAATCGGCAAATCTCATTCAGGGCGCCCTATTTAAACTGCTGTTGCTGCTTCCTCTGCAAACCGCTTTGCAACCCGCCTCCACCCCAGCTCCTCCTTTTCATGCTGTGTCTGACTTATCAATGTCATTTCTGTTTGTCATTGAAGCTCTGTTCTGTACCTGGGGGTCTTTGCTGCTGCTCTCCCTGCCTTAGGCTTTCCATGTAGGTGCATGGAAGGGCAGAGAGGTGTGCTCTCTCTGTCTCAGGCTTTCCTCGCATGCACGTGGAAGTGCAGAGAGGCCCCAGAACAGAGCCATACCGCCAAATATCAAATTGCAAAAGGAAATAAAGACTTCTTTGGCTAAAGGGGTCCTGACTGAAATGGGCTGCACGTGGACATCCACCTAAGGGTCAGTGCAGACCCTTGTGGACATGGATGAATGACGACATTTACGTCATACTGACCATAGTAGACACACGGATGCATAAACTATGAATTGCCTCACTTGTGCCTGGCAAATGTGAGTCAAATACTAACTCTCTTTTAGCTCTGTTTTGGTCTCCACCAACTCCAGGAAAAAAAAGTTTCTTGAGCTGCTAAATGATCTGCTATGTTGTTGTTTTTTTTAAAGATATTTTTTGGGGCATTTTTAGCCTTTAATGTATAGGACAGACAAGTGTGAAAGGAGGAGAGAGAGAGAGAGAGGGAGTGACATGCAGCAAAGGGCCACAGGCTGGAGTCGAACCCGGGCTGCTGCAGCAACAGCCTTGTACATGGGGCGCCTGCTCTACCACTAAGCCACCGACGCCCCAATGATCTGCTATGTTGACTAGCTAGCTAATGACTGTATCGTTGTTGTTTCAGGACCGAGCAGTTCTTCGGGAGTCCCAGCGACACAGCAGCGGCAGCGGAGGGCGTCAGAGAGCGCCTCCTGCTGGTGGAGGAGCGACGGCTGCAGCTGCAGGAGGCGGGGCTTCCTAATGATGACGATTATGAGGAGGAGGAGGTGCGAAACGGGCAGGAGGCACGGCTGGACGTGATCGGAGAGGAACTGAGTGAGAAAGAGGACCAAGATGAGGAGGAAGAGGAGGAGGAGGTGGTGGTGGTGGTGGAGCAGCAGGATGAAGACTTAGAGAGGGCGACGCAGGACTGCTAATGGATCGCTGCAGCCTTAATGAAGCTCGTTAACAAAGGGCTGCTGATTAATTTCCACTGAAACCACTGCTGGTTGCTTCTGTCTCAGTGCAGCAGTAGCTTCACTCTCACTGCTGGTGTCTCTTTACATTCAGACTACATCTCCCATCAGCCTCACAGCTTCCTGAGAGAGAATAAACGTGGTGGATGTGATGGTTTCACTCCATTAAGCAGAAACTGTGCGAGCTTTAAGTCGTCTGCTCTGGAACAACAGCGCCCTCTAACTGTTCTTCTGCCGTTAGCAATCCTGCAGATTTCACAAACTGTAAAAAACTGGAATTATTAATATTCATATCTCTGGATGCTCCGTTGAAGACGATCGACTGTAAAATAATCAGTTTGGATAAGAGTACTTCTAATGTACAGCTAACACCGCCTCCTCTTTCCCAGCATGCCTCTCGTTCACCTGAGTGTGGGTGGAGCTTCCATGGTGCTAACACGGTTACCAAGGTTTCTGTCTGTGCCTCCACCAACTTCTCGCCTTCCTCGCCTCATTTTATTTCCCTCTAACAGAAGATGAACTTTACGGCCTGTACAGAAGAGGCAGAGCTACAGTATATCAGGTGCAGCGACCTGATCCTGTTCCTGCATCAACGGTCCTTTACGTTTCCCCCCACAGACGGTTGGAGCTTTTCACCACAAGGATGAACATGAAATCCTCCATGTTGAATCATCTATACAAATAAGCTAAAAAAAAAATTATCAACAAAAAATGAAAGATAGAAGATTGTTTGTAAAGCGAACTTGAGGATGACTACAAGTCCTAAAAAGAGCATCGTGGAACAACAAATAACATCCAATCAGCTCAAAGTAAAAGCATTTTCCCACCAAAATTTGAGGTCTTCCTTTAAAGCTAAATTTAAAGTAAAATTAAAGTAAAAAAAGTAAAGTAAAATTTAATTTTACCTTTGCCTTATACTCAGAGGTGTAGATTTCAGGGGGGGACGCAGGGACCCATCACCCTCAAATACATGAAAGTAACGAAGGACTTTTATTTTGACAAAATTTAAGACATTTACACCATGAATTGATGCAGAAAAGTCGGTGAATTAACATTCACCAGAATGCAGGAAATTAAGTGTTCATGCTCTGAATTTTCTGGCGGAGGAACCCAAACACCCGTTTCATATGCCCCCAATGTTGAAACAAAACCTTCACAACCTGAAGAAAACCGTAACAACCTACGTTAGCTTAGTTTGGCAATGATAATAAAATAATTTATATAGGGATGGGCATGAGTACTTGATTTGGGCATCAGTATTTGTATAATCGTCGCCCAACCTCCCACATGTGAACACGACTTTTACATTTTTGGTTTTACCATTTAAAATGGGTTAAATCTTATTTCATTGTCGAGCAGTGTGCAGGGTATTGCTTCGTTCATCACCTCCCCACCCTGCTGTTACACAAAAAAGGTTCTATGTTCCCCACTCAACCAAGCGGGAAACATAGAACCTTTTTGGTTGAGCGGGGAACATAGAACCCGGGAAACATAGGGATGACCCCCTGTTACTACTAGTACTGCTGCAGGAGTGTGAGCTCCACACCAGGGAACATTTGGTGAGCGTCCACCAGGACACACACATTGACAAGGCTAACTGTTAGCATCAAATGGCTAACATTCCCTACTGATTATTTACAGGTATAACGACAGAGTCGAGGCGTTTTGGTTTAAGTATGAATGTGTTGGGACTGTTCACGGCTCGGTCTCGAATGTTAGCCACTGCTGCTGTGTTAGCTTGTGCTAACGTGGCAGTAGTTGAACTGACTGGGACAAGAGCGGCTCCAGACTCCTGAGTTTAACCTATGTTATGGCAGCGACAGAAACTTTGCAAGTTTTCTTATGTGAACATTTCATTAATAGTTTAACTTGGCTAATTGAAGCCTTTTTATTCAGTGAGTGAGTTTCAAATTGCACTTGCTTTTCATTCCATTTACATGCCTTTTTTTACGCTACATGGCCATTTTCATACCTATTTTTACAGAACAAGTCCTTTGACATACCTATTTTTTCATTACGTCAATGTACATACCTGTTTTTGCGTTACATTTCCAATTACACACCTGTTTTTGTGTTACATGGCCATTTTCATACCTATTTCTACAAAACAGTCAAGTGAAATACCTATTTTTACATTACATGTCTATGTACATACGTGTTTTTACATAATGACCATAACATACCTATTTTTATGTTACAAGTCCATTAACATACCAATTTCTACGTTCCAAAGCCATTAACATACCTATTTACAAGTCCATTTACACACCTACTTTTCCATTTACATACCCGTTCTTACATGTCCATTTACATACCTGTTTTTACGTTACATGTCCATTTCCATAGCCATTTTTTGCGAGTACAAAGATAGTATAATAATTTAATCCAAGTACTCAAAAGTTACTTAAAATGCCCATCCCTATTTAAAGCACAAATTATTATTATTATTATAATTATTTGTTGGACACCTGCAGGCCTCTGTATTTGCCAATTACAGGTTTGACCAGATGAATCCACAAGTGGAAACACACAGCTAGGAGAGAAATTGATTTCATAGCAAAATTAATTCTACTGATTGGACGTTTTTTGGTGAAGCTGTCTGCAGGACTTGTAGTTGTAACACTGATGTGTCCATCAAGCTCTACATCTCTCTAGGACCACTCTGCTGCTCTAAATAAACCCTCTGCCTTCATGAAGGAAATCAAACCTGTGCAGCTTTGCTCTGATCCAGACTGACCACCTGATGGTGACATCAGCATACAACTAATCCCTTTTCTATTTATTTGACTTTTTTTCAGGCAGATCTAGTTGATTGGTATTTTTGACCAATAACTGTTGCTGTGAGTGTAACCGCTAAACTCTGTCTTGCTCTCTGTCCTCTCCATCCCATAACCTGTACCATGACAACAGTATGACATCATTTCCTTAATAAAGGAGCATTTTGAAAGTGCTGTCTGAGGTGAGGTTTTTATTTGTCACTCATTTTGATAGAAACACACAGCTACTGAAAATGTTTTCAAATAATTTATTAAAAAAGGTTCTCACTTCTTCCACATTAACAGTTTAAACATGGAAATATCTGAATGTATGATTCTCTTGTTCCTTAAATAGATTACATCATACCTTAACATGCTGACATTTGTGAACTTTTAATAAAACTTTATACACAGCAGCAGCAGCACTGTTACAGTACAGCTACAGCTAGAGTGCAACGCTACACCTTCACCACCCCGTGTCAAGTCAGTCATCTTAAGGCAACATCCTTCACTCTTGGTATGACAGTATGTTCACAATGTTGTCAAGAAAAGTAACGTTAAGATAAAACTGTCATGAAAGTATATTTCTTGCCGTCTTCTAGGAGCATGGAGAGTGGAAGCCTCGTGCTGATGTTGATGAAGAAGAACCACAGGACTGAGATCATGCACGAGGTAATGGAGGTCTGTAAAGTGTTTGTTAGCTGCAGGTTATCGCCGCATGTCCTTGTCCATAAGGTCTTTGGCCTCGTTGATCTTAGCAGCGAGATACGGTGACCCACCTGCACACACACAAACACACAAGTCTGATTCTGTGATCACTGCTTTAATATTCCATCTGTGATATTAACTGAAAATAATGTTTTAACAACTTGATCATCAGTGATACTGACTTTTACACATCACACAAATAGAAATTCAAATTAATTTATCAACCAGTGCTGACTGCAGTCTTACAAACATCTGACTTTTGTCTCTTTGAGGGTCAGAGTGTACGCTCACCTTTGTCTGGATGGTTCAGGACCATGATCCTCCGATGGGCCTCGCGTACCTTGGCCTTTGTGCTGGCTGGGCTGGAGATAAATAATACATCCATGTAAGCAATAATTTCTTTCCTCTGAGCAGTGACACACACTCCAAAGGATTTTTGGAAGTTAGCAGACATTTACCTGATGCCAAGAATGAGGCTGGCCTCTCGTTTGGACATCTTCTGCTCAAACCCTCCTTTGTAATACGATGAGAACGCCTGTGGTGACAGAAAACGATCAGAGCTTTGAGTCTCAGTAGTCTGAACATCTCAAAAACACTGGGACAGGCTCAACTTTATTTGTTAGTTGATATTTTTGTCCAGAATGTGAAATGCTAGGGTTTTCCCACATATGTTTTATCTGAGATATTGTAAGTGTTTCTTTGAACCATCTACAATAAGAACATAAAACAAAGACCCTGAGCACAAGACACTACAAAGACAAGTAAGTAAATTGATTTATATAGCACTTCTCACAGAGAGGACTCACAAAGTGCTTCACAAGATAAAATACAAAAAATACAATAACAGAAACAATGCAAAATACACAAAAACAAATAAAAACAGCTGTACGACAGCAGGCTACATGTTGTGGGTTTATTTCAGCTTTAGTTTGACCCTAAAGACCTTCAGCACAAAAAAGGCAAAAGATACTAAGTTGTGCATAACAGGACTAAAATGAATAGCCCATCAGATGTGTAAGAGGGGCATTTTTAGCCTTTAATGGATAGGACAGACAAGCGTGTAAGGGGGGGAGAGAGGCCTTGTACATGGGGTGCCTGCTCTACCACTAAGCCACCGAACGCCCCAAGAGGTTAAATAATTACTCACTGATGAGGGCATCTTCCTGACAGTTTCAGAGAAGACCTGGCCGAGAGGCTTCCACAGCTGGAACGCATAACGACCTGCAGATCAAACATGAAACAGTAAAACATTACTTTACTTTTCTAGATGAAAAGGGAGCAACAAAAACCAAAGCAGAAACTTTGACTAGAGAGTGAGTATTAAAAAAAGAAAAGAAAAATGGCAGACAGGGTTTTTAGGTTTAGCAGCTCATTTTAAGTGTGACTGAAACAACATAAAACCCTGAAACATCTATATCACATACACATCCAGATTATATATCTTGGCGTATTACTGCTCTTATTATTATCAAACTGTTCCTACCTGCGAAACCCGCAGCAGCCACACCAAGACCGACTGCGATCAGAGTCCCTCCCTGTCACCAAAAACAAAACATCAGACAGTTACTACACTGAGACAAATCATACAACATGGATACTTTTAAGATTAGTTTGGCAGCTTCAGTAACAGGGATGCACGATACTGGATTTTTTGCCTATATATGAAATGCCAACATGTAACAACTTATTTGAACAATAACCAATATCAATGTATCTACTTTTTTCCCTACCTGATTTTAGTGATCATCAAGTCTCTTTGTAGTGGAATTAACTGGTAACCCCAAAGCGCCTTCACACTCCACTCTCACTTCAGCACACCTGTCTTTAACTAAAGCTTCCCCAGATGCCTGAGGGGTATTCCAGAAAGCGGGTTTAGTGAAAACTCTGAGTATGTTAACCCTAAAATGAGGGAAACTCTGGGTTTTCAGTTCCAGAAAGAGAGGTAAGTCAAACTCAGAGTCAATCACCATGGCCACCTAACCTGCTCGCTGGCAGGTTTTCTTTAAGAAACCCTGAGTTCACCCTGTCTCCTCCCTACTGCCGAGCCTGAACCAAGCTGTCAGACAGACATGGGTTGTTCGTATATAGGAAATCTGATCAATATCGAGGCAGAATTAATTCACAATACCTTACGCTGGGAGAGGATCTTCAGACCCCGTTTAGATGTGCTGTCTTCCCCAATGAATATCTGTTTGGACCGTACCGTTTTAGACTCAATCATTTACTGGCCACACATATCAAATCTGACACCCTGCGGATGTGCGCTCTCATCAGAGCAAATGTGCATCACGCTACGTTTTTTTGTGATATTGGTGGCCTACAGTACATAATGAAATAGCCACTGAATGACAGGTTATTTAAGCTACTTTGTTTAATAAATCAAATATGAATAAAACTAAAGAAAGGTACAGTCATTTTTACTGTGGTTGTGCACGTGCTTAACTCAAGGTGTACCTACTCAGAGTTGACTGAACTAATTCATATCAGCTGTTCTGGAACCGGATACTCAGAGTTTCCCAGCTCAGGGTGTCAACTCAGAGTTCAGATCAGACTTAGAGTTTGTTGAACCTCCTACCTGGAAAACCCCTCAGGTAAGGCAGTGCATTAAAGTGACTCAAAAAATTATAGGAAACTAGGACTTCCTAGAAATGGCTGTAACACATTCATTGTGCAAAATAAGAAAAGGCATGTTAAAGCCATTATTGGCTGATACTGATGACGTACCGATATCATCAGCATAATGGTCAATTCCGATATTTAATTGTATAGCCAGTATCAGCTGATACCGATGTCATGATGATATCACTGTGCATCCCTACCTCATAATGTACCTTATTGATGCTTTGAGTTCAGTGACTTAGCTGTCAGTTTGAGTCCTGATTGTGTCATTTCATAATAAGCTTTAAGTATGATTTTCCATTAAGAACATTTGTGGAGCCCCTGAAAGTCCAGTCTTGCAGACACTCACTAATATTATGAATATTATATTAAGTTAAGTTTTCCAAAAAGATGTTTCTGTCCCAGTCGTCAGCTCAACCTCTTGTGAAGTGAGATTTTCTGTATCATAAATAGTACAATAACATAAATCTAACCACAGAGGCAGACTTCAGAAGGAGCATCTTAAGTGTATGCACCTTAACATTTAGATTTTACCATCACAGTATGTTTATAAAGTCCCTTATGTGACATGGAGGTGGCTGAATGTCAGAGCCATGACACTAACATGTGTTAACATGTGGGCTGTGTGATAGGAGGTCGTGACCCACAGTAACGTACAGTAATATTGAGTAATTACAAAGTTGTCCTTAAATATAACGTATATCAAACCACAAGCTAGCCAATGTTTAGTTTAGCTAGTTAGCTCAGGTGATGTAGTTCACTAGCTCGTGCAGCAGCAGTGACGTGCAGTTACGTTAACGGTCATTAAGGTTACGTAAAACACACGCTACCAGGTAAAAACCGCTGTGGTTAAATTAAACTGACTCTATAAAGGTCCTGAGTGTTTAAACAGACACTCACCAGCCGTCTGTCGATGTCTGCGTCGCTCCTAACGGTTGTTTTTGGAGCATATTCAGCGTATCGCATCATGTCTCCTCCATCCACGGTCATTCCGCCGGTGCTCGCCATGTTGCCTCAGCGACAGTGACGGCTGTCAGTGTCACGTGATTAAACTTCGTCCATCTTCTTCGTTGGTGTTTTACGGCAGTTGGCATCCTGCAAGTTACTGCCTCCTACTGGCTTTATCCAACCACTGCTATCCTCGTCTACAGTCATATTGCATTATATTATATTATATTATATTATATTATATTATATTATATTATATTATATTATATTATATTATATTATATTATTTTACTTTATTTTCTATTCTTTTTTTTATTTATTATATTATTATTTCATTTCATTTTATTTTATAATAGAGTAGAAAAAACTTTATTCATTGCCTAAGGGCAGCTCATAAAAGCTCTTAAAAGACAAAAAAACAGCACTTTCTCTTATCGACAACAATACGGTGGTATTAAAATAGACATGAAATAGAATAAGTTAACTGCATAAATAGAAATGAAATTAAAATAAAATTGCCCATTCCACATTTCCTGCAAGAAATAAGAATGTGCTCCACTAACTCCTTTTCTCTGCACCGACTACCATAACCCATTGGATGTTTCCCTAATACATAAAGAGTTAAAGGGAAAATAAATTAACAAAATTATGAAAGATGTAAACAACCAACACAAAAAAGATAAATTATAAAACTTACCCTGTGATCTTTGAAAGTTAAAAGTTGAAGATGAAATCCTCTTGTGTCATGTACGCTGGTTAGTTTGCGCAAGCTCCTTATTTTGGCTAAATTTTAAATGAGACGTAGAATAAAGTGATTTTGATGAAATATCATTATTTTAAGCTCAGGTTTGGTTATGTTTTTTTATCTGACAGACATGTTTGTTGCACATGATGTGTGTTGGAAATTTGGAAATCCAGTG